GTTCGATCCCCGGCTGCTCCCCGGCCACCGGAGGAGGGTCCCACATGGCGTGCAGACCTCTCCTGCCGCCCGCTGCTCCCCTCAGCAGTGTACTTCGGTCCTTCTGCCTGCTCTGCTCCCCGCTCTGGCTCTGGTGAATTCTCTCACCCTCCCGTGCTTCTGACTGGACCCAGTGCATGTATAAACAAAACAAACAAACAAACAAATAAATAAATAAACATGCCTCTATAAAATTAAAAAAAAAAAATACAGGTTGCAGAATATAGTCCTACCTTGTTTGCCCAGGATCCTGGGGTGTCTATTATTTTATGGACAGATACCTCTGAGCTGTTTGGATGACTGGAGCTTTAGTGCTGGTAAAGAGGGAGAGCTGGGACAGCAGGGAGCCAAGAAGTTGTTGCTAGAGACTGCCTAAAGTTCAAGCCTCCTAAGGGGCTGCAGATGCCTGTGCTAAGGAGGGAGGGATCTACAACAACCCCCTCCCCTAGAACAGTTTCCTCAGTTGGAGATTCCCTGGTAGTTTTAGGCTAACACTGACCCCTGAGCTGTGGTCCAGTGCTGGTTTGTGGGTTCTCTGATAAGTAAATCATTCTCTTCTTGCCTTTCAACATCTCACTTCTAAACCCAGCAATAAATGTTAGTTCTGCAAAGCTTCCCTTCACCCTCCTGTAGCTGATCTCATTTTTACTTTCTGAGTCTCTATATATAGCATCTGAATATTATTTAGTCCTGTAAAACCTTTATCTCTTTTTTTTCTTACTGTTACTTATTTTTTCAAAAACGCCTCTTTTGCTTAATTCTCTGCTTGTTTGATTTATCTCCCCTGCTGGAGAGATACCTCTATAGAGCAAGGCCTTTGTCCCTCATTGTTTTTCTTCCAAGATTTAGCACAGCTTCTTCAAAGGAATAACTGATCAATAAATGCTTGTTGGTAAACTACTAGTAGTGTCTTAAATGGATCCATAGATTTGCATTTATGTGAAATACTATTTCAACTGTAAAATAGAGACAAAAACTGTGTTTTAGAAAAACTACAAACTATAAACAGATCATCTTAAATGCATTAGAATCTGGCTATATAAAACCTATGTTGAAGTCTTTTGTAAAGTGAAACTTTTTAAACATGAGACAATCATGATTATATATAATCTACAAATGTTATATAATTAAGTCACTTCAGTAATCTTTTATTTCTATTTTGTTTGTTGCTCTGCTGTTATGTTGAGTTTTCCGAAGGCTAAACAAACTTGCAGCAAACTGGTGGGCTCTTAGAGACTTCTGAGTGACAGTGTAGTACACTGCAAAAAGTGTATGTTGGGGGGATGGGTAGTGGGGCTGTGGTCAATCACAAGTCTGACCTGGTCTTGAATCCCAACTCTGAACATCCTGGCTCTGAAGCCCTAACAACCAGCCACCTCCATCCCCGAGTCTCAAGTTCCTCATTTAAAATTGGGTTGATAACAGCTATCTTGTAGGGAACTAATCAGGGGTGAGCACTGTTAAGGCATTTGTCACAGTGCTAGCAGCTAGTGGGGTGCTGGTACTGGAAGTCTCTACTTTCATTTTTGCCATTTCTACACACTATAGCATGATTTAGTCCTGCCTGCTAATGCACTGCTTTTTACTTCTTACACACTTTACCCCCCAGTTAACAGTCCCAAATGGTCCAAAGACTTGCGATAAGGTACCTTCAGATGCCAGAGCGAATTTATCTCTAAAAGTGGGAGCTGTCTGAATTATCCATACTAGATCTATGTACTATCTTATTCCACACACATAGGACCACTTAAGAAATCAATACCCATTGTAATATCAGGGTAGGACAAATGCCTTCTGCCACTTTTAAAAGCCTCATGGCTTTCTCTGGCTCATCATTGAAAGGAACCAGGCAGTTGGAAAATGAAGAAAGTCTGGGCCTGCAAGGAGATGGTAATCCACCCAGAGCCAACATTGTGGGCAAGGAGTCAACAATCCTATTGATCTGGCACAATGATTGACCGTTCTTATCAGAGCAACAGACTTTTGAGCCCTGTGTTAGAACTAAGTTTCAGCTAAAGTGAGGCAAGTGTTATCTATTTGTTTTGGCTTTTCACGAGGCTGTTGAAAAGGATTAAACAGTTGCTACGTTGCCTTTAAGAAAAATTAACTTCCAGTCCCTTGGGACTGTGTTTTAGTTTAAAACCATTTAGAGGAATTGATCACTTCCTTGCCTTTATTGCTTTCAGAAAAAAATATCCTTAGATGGAGATTTTCTGTTTCCTTTAAAATTTATGGACACTGCAACCCTCTGTGAGCAAACCTGGAGGGCACTAATCTTTCCTAATTTTTCCCCTACCTGCACCCCCAAACATTTCCACTGTGAATAAGGTCATTAGCACCTCTAATGTTCATTGAGCACCCTGCACTGATTAAACATCAGCAAGGTGCCTGCAGAATATTCTTCCTCACTTGATTTCCATCCTTAGGAAACAAACAAAAAAAACCCATAAATTTCTAATAGGGCAAATAAGTATCTTCAAAGTCAGATTCCAACCAATGTTTTAGTTTAGCTTTGTCTCTCTCAATGGCTACCTTTAATAGCCAACCCCTTCCTCTACATGGAATTTCATCCCCCCTCTTTTCAAGTCAGTAAGGTCCTACTTATCTGTGTAGCCCAAATTTCACTTTCTCTGGGAAGCCTTCCCTGACTTCTCAGGCAAAATCTGTCCTCCCAACTTCATGCTACACAGAGCCCCTCTCCATAGAGAGTGTTTCTAAAACTTTGGGATTCCTTGAAGATACAGATTCTGATTCTTGAACCCAAGAAGGATTTTTTTTTTTAAAGATTTATTTATTTATTTATACAAGCACTGGGTACAGTCAGAAGCATGAGAGGGTGAGAGAATTCACCAGAGCCAGAGCAAGGAGCAGAGCAGGCAGACTGACAAAACACACTGCTGAAGGGAGCAGTGGGTGCGGCAGGAGAGGTCTGTGTGCCATGTGGGACTCTCACTGGTGACCAGGGATTGAACCGGTGCTGAAGAGGCTGCAGGCAGCTTTGCAGCCCAACAATCAACCGCTGCGCCACTGGGGAGGCCCCCAAGACTGAATTTCTAACAAACTTTGAGGTGATGCGGCTGCTGTTGGTCCATGTAACATTTTGAGTGGTGAGGATATTGAATTCCCAGTGCAGGGTTTGGTTCTTTATGTGTGTGTTTGTTTTAGCAGGACTGCAACTGACTGTTTCATCTCTGAAAGCCCAGAACTAAGCACAGAGCCAACAAGAAAACTCTGAATATTTGTTGATAAGGAAGGAGTCCTCCCTTGTCACACTCACTAAGATCATCTTCCTTTCCTTTTTATAGCTGTTTCATAGAATTTTATTTCTCTTTATGGCAGGTCTTTATTTTTGCTGTTCACTTCATTTTTAAGGCAGAGTCAGGTTGTTGATTTTTTTAAAAGATTTATTTATTTATTTATACATACAAGCACTGGGTACAGTCAGAAGCGCGGGAGGGTGAGAGAATTCACCAGAGCCAGAGCAGGGAGCAGAGCAGGCAGAAGGACCGAAGTACACTGCTGAGGGGAGCAGCGGGCAGCAGGAGAGGTCTGCATGCCATGTGGGACCCTCCTCCGGTGGCTGGGGAGCAGCCAGGGATCAAACCGGCACTGCAGAGGCTGCAGGCAGCTTCGCAACCCAGCGCTCAACCACTGCGCCACTGGGGAGGCCCTGTTGATTGTTTTTTAACTCAGAAAAAAATACAGACTACTCGTTAGGGGGCTATTGCAATAATCCCTGGGAGAATTGATGGTGGTTTGAATATATATGTGTGTGTGTGTGTATATGTGTGTGTGTGTGTGCATGCATATTTATGTATATATATTTTTTAATGAAGAACTCCTATATATTTTAAAGATTTATCTATACATACAAGAGCTGGTGTGTAGGCCAGAGGTGTGGAGAGGTGAGAGACAGAACGGGGAGCAGAACAGGCAGATCTACTGAAATACACTGCTGAAGGGAGCAGCAGGGGAGACAGGAGAGGTCTGCGGCGCCATGTGAGTTAGCTCCCTGGGTGAGGATCTAGGTTAGAACTCCTGCTGCAGTGCCTGCGGATACCTTCATAGTGCTCAGAATTTAACCCCTTGCGCCTCCAGGGAGGCCCCAGAGGAACTCCTGTAATTTAAACGAGAACAAAACCCAATAGAAGTACAAGAAACTCCCCAAACTAACAATGTGTGATGCAAATTATTGATAATCAGAGGAATGCAAAATAAAAGGGTATTATGATATTGCACCTGCTATTCTGGAAAAAAATTACAGAGTTGGACACACTACCAAATTGACAGGGATATGAAGCTCTTGCACTGTTAATGGGAATATAGAATCAAGGAGCAATATGACACTGCTGAGTGAAGTAATGTATATCCCCATGACCCAGAGATTTAGGTCATGCTTATATATTCGAGAGAAAGTTCCACGCAGGTTCAGAAGGAAATGAGTAGGGAGTTCATTGCAACACTGTGGCAACAGGGAGGTAAAAGCAGCCTTGGGGGCAATGGATGGATAAAATGGCTATCACTCCGTGATCAATACTTTATACGCATTGTATCATCTCTCAAAACAATCCTGGGACTTTTAGTAGCATCCGTTTTGCAGAGGATAAAATGAAAACTATCTTCTTAAACACACACGTGACTGCTTATTTTCTGTTACACTTTTCTTAGCGGAAGGTCGAGAACACTGGGCTTCAAGTGCTCAGCAGCCTGCCAGGTCTCTGAGCCATACCTGGTCGCCCTCGGGATCGTCACTCTTTGACTCCCGAGAAGCCTCGGGCCTGGGCCGTCAGCACCGCGGACAGAGTCACCAGGGGGCGGGGGGGGCGGGGGGGCGGGGAGGCGGGGCATCCACAGAGACGTCACGACGCGCGGAGTCTCTGGGAGCGCATTCGCCGGGGGCGGGCGGCGCCGCCGAGTCACGTGACCCGGGTATTTGGCGCGGCGTGCAGCGCACCCCCAACGCGCAGCCCCCCGATCTGCAGCCGCCGGACCGCGCTGCCCCGCTGACTCCCGCCTGCCCGGTGAGCGCGGTGGCCCCTCCTTTCCAGGTCCCTGCGCCTCCTTTCTCCCGCCGTCTTGGGGGGCAGGGCCCCCCAGCTCCAGTGTTCTGAGGCTCAGAACACCCGCAGTCCTGAGCCGGGTCCCGCCGGAGGAGGGAGAAGGGGGGGTGAGCGTGACCTTGGCCCCGCCCTTGGCTGACCGCAGCCTCCCGGGGGACCCCAGCCCTTCGCTCACGTCGGACCCTTGGAGTGCAGTGTTTTTGCGTAAAGGAGCTACGCGCTAACGGTGGGGTTTCCGGCACCAGCGGGGGTTCTCCAGCCCCCAAACTACAGAGAGTTCACGCAGCCTTTAAAGGCCAGGGGAAGGGCCTGCTGCTGCTCTTTGCCCTTGCTGGGGGCCGGGGCAGTGGAGGTGATGGGGCAGGGGAGGGACCAGTGTTATGCGCCTGGCAAGACACTTAGGCAGCTTCGAAGTCTTAGCACCTCGTCAGAGCAGAGCCTTGGTAGATGGTTTTAACCATGGTCTTTGCCCACAAATGGGGAAACTGAGGCCCTGAGAAACAGAACTGGCTTGCGGTCCCAGCCAGCCAGGGAAATCCCTCCCATTCCTAGGGATATGGGGTAATGCATGGGCCTCAGCAGGTGTAGTGGGCGTTAACTGGATCCCAAGGGCCCTGCTCTGACCCCTCTACACCATGGACCCAAGCCCTGCAGCTCCTCCCCACACTTCCCACAGCAGCTGGGAATTGAATGCCTTTGTGCTTTTCCCCCCTCCTGGCTTTAGCTCAGGCTTTTCATCACTGCCAAGGAAATAAGTATATCCCTTCCCTGCTCGCTTCCTACCTCAGCATCTGCCTTGGTGATCTTCTCTTGGGCTCAGCAAGCTAGAGTCAGGGTTTATTCTTGAGAAAAGCCCACCCACTTCTCAGAATGTGGGGCCAGAGTAGGCCTGCCAGTAGCAGGAGGTCAGACTGCTGCCACCCAACTTCAAGGTCTCAGGGAGGCCTGTCCCCTCCTGCATTTTTGTTAACTGATCTCTACACTGGTGAGCAATTCTCACCCTGCAGCCCAGACAGAGCCTAGTTGGGGTGGGGGCTTAGTGACTGGGAATGCCTGCAGTTGTTATGGTTCTGGGCTCAGGCTGGGGGTACTGACCTTGTCACTAGAGAGAATGGCCTGGAGCTGCCTTCGTGTTAGTGTACTGGGGGCTGGCCTGGCTGGGACATGGCAAGGTACTTGACTCTTTGCTCTTGTCTTTGCCTACCTAGGTGGGCAGGACCTGACAGGGCAGGTTGGGCCTCTGGCTCCAAATACTGAGTCTGTTTTGTCCCCAGTCCTCCCTGGTGCCTGGGTACTCAGGTCCTGTTAGGATGGGGGTAGGATAAGCAACTGGCCAGGTCAGGTGAAGGCCACAGCAGTGCCAGCAGCTGCCCCAGACCAGTCAGTGCTTGTAAAACACAGTGTTCCTGTACCCGGCCAGGCTGGACACAAGCAGGCTTTGGCACTGCCCCCCTGAGCAGTACCATTCCTCTGTGGGGGTGGAGGTGGAGGCCAGCAGAGAGAGCATTTCTGGGTGCAGCCATTTGGAAAGTGCTTTGCCATTAAGAGAAATCTGAGTTTATATATTGACTCCCCACTGAGGAGGGCACCGGCTCTGGAACCACACAGAGCCCCATCATTTACCAACTTAGCCTCTCTGTGCCTCGGTTTCCTTCTTGATAAGGTGGGGCTAATCCCTGTGCCCAGCTCATGAAGTGGTTGAGAGAATTAAATGAGCTCAGTACCTGCCCCAGATAAGCATTCATTGATTGTGCTCTTATTTTTATTTGCACAATGGATGGTTTCAGTGTCTGGTTTCATTTGCTACAGAATGGGGACAGTAAATCTTCCTAGGTTGTTTGGATTCTTGTGATGCCCAGACCACTAGCTACTATGCCATCTGGACTGGGGAAGCACATTTGGCCTGGCCTTGGCGGTCAGAGGCTGAGCAGGGGTTGGGGTCCTGGCCCTTTGATCCCAGAGCCCATGGCTCTAGCCCCCTCCCAGCAGCTGGAGGGAGAGAGAGCCAGCTCCTACTGGCCCTCGCTCTAGGGCCTGCATAGCTGACTGATCTGGCTGGGAGTGCGGCCCAAGGCTTCAGAGGCTCACATGTGGGAAGGAAGCTTGGGGGCACTTGGGGCTTGAGGTCCTGCTGATCCCACCTCCTTCCCCCTACAATGGAATGTATTCTTCATTTTTAATTTTCCTCTGTTTAGACTTGCTGCTGGTTGCCTTGAGGACCACACTTTCCCTTGCTTGAGGAGACACCCATCTCCACCCCCAATTTTCCTCATGTGAGTTGGAATGGTGGGAGGGAGGGAGGAGGCAGGCTGGGAGGTCTGTGCCCTGCCCAGCCCTGGGACCTGACCTCTTGTGGAAACTCCAGCCAGATGGTTCTGGTGACTTGGCTGAGCTGAGGAGGGGGAGGGACTCTGTTGGCTGAGCATACCTGACCCCTGGGGCACTGGCTCAGAGCCAGGCCAACAGACCTGGGAGTTGTCACAGAAGGCACATTTTCTGGAAGGTGCTGTGCAAGAGGGAGCAGACCCCTCCTGCTTCTGGTGGGATGGCTGGAATTCTTTGGGGAGTAGGGCATTGGCAGGTATTCAAAGGGAGCTATTCTGTGTCCAGACGGTACTGGGGCAGGGAGGGGGCTCTTATTGTGAGGGTGGGGGAACAGAAGTCCTGTGTAGGATGAGGTGGCAGAGATCTGGAGGAACAGGGACCCCCAGTGTGCCCTGTGAATCCCTAGCCTGCCTGAATAGGGGCCCTTGGGGCTCTCCAGCATTGGAGGAGGCTCTTAGAGCTCCTGTCCTCCAGAGGGTAGCGGGAGTCACCGGTCCTCTACACAGCACTGAAAGCTCATTATTCAGGAATTTTCCCTGGGAAATGGAAGGGGACATGTGAGGGTGAAATAAACTCCCAGTTCTTTCTCTCCAGCCTGGCTGGACTCTCAGCCTATGTGTCCCCCGTGAGCTCTTAGCTGTCCTGAGTGACATTAGTCCTGAGTGTAAGCTCTGGGCAGGGTGCAGGAGACCAAGAGAGCTGTTTCAGACAACAGCTGGGCTGGGCCTGGTGGGTCTGCCTTCTGGTCTGCCCTCTACCACTCCCCAGCGCCCTCCCTTCTCTGAGTCTCAGTCCTCCCTCCTGTGGAGTGGGGCCACTGAGGCCCATGTCACAGTGTCCTGGCCTGGGTGGGCGCTCTGGGTCAGTCAGGAGATCACAGTGACCAGAGTCTCCGCAGTGTTCATGCACTATCCTGAAATATCACGAGGTGGAACATCTTCCTTATCCTCATTCTTCCACTCCTTTGCTCAGCTGTTCTGCTGGTTTCTCCTGACCTTGCACGGTATATCCAGTTCCTGTAAGACCTGCCCTGTCTGAGTTTCAGGGTGACCAGCTGTGTGCTTACCCCTTCTTGGGAATAATGCCTGACCATGCCCATGACCCTGTAAGTGGGCTTCAGGAACTAGGCTGGGTGCTCCCTGAGGCAGGGTCATACTTGCACCTGCATCAGACTTGGGGGACTAGGAAGGGAGCACAGGCTGGGATGGGTAGGGCACAGCAGGTCTGGGGCTCAGAGGCACTCTGTGGTGGTTGTGGAGTTTACTGAACTGGGATCTCTTGCTAGGCAGCAAACCCAGGAGAGCTGGGAGTGGCCCATTCACCAGGTCTCTTCACTGCCTTGTCCAGGTCACCTGCCCAGTAGGACTGACAAATGTCAGATGAGTGAGCAGTGCCTGCCAGAGCTTTCTTCCATCCTAGTCCCGGAGTTTATGCTTTTCCCTCATTGCCTTTTCTAGAATGAGTCAGTTGAGGCTGCTGCCATCCCGGCTTGGGGCACAGGCTGTGAGGCTCCTGGTCCCTCGTGATTTCCAGGTGTTCAGCTGGCGTGGCAGGTCATCTGGGCCACCGGCCACCTTCCCAAGCAGCAGAGGTGGAGGTGGCTCCAATTACATGGAAGAGATGTACTTCGCCTGGTTGGAAAACCCCCAGAGTGTCCACAAGGTCAGCAACCCCACCCTGTCCGCCATGTGGGAGGGATGCTTTTGGGGCTGGGTGTGAAAAGGTGAGTGGAGACAAGCAGTTTGCTGGCTGTGTGATCTTGGGCAACTTTCTTTAACATCTTTAGCCCCTGTTTGTGAAAGAGCCCCATTGGGTGAGGAAAGTCCATTGTGTTCTTGGTGCTGAACCAGTCAGTGGGTGGTGGCCTGCCTTGAGAATACCCTGCTCAGCCACCTCTGGTCTGAGACCTGCCCTGGCCTCCTTTGTCATCTGTGCTGTGTCCTGATGACCCCTTGGTGCACAGTTTCAAGCACACATGTTTGCATTTTTTTTTGAGATGATAAAATAAGTACCACCTGATGGTTAAAACAAAATCAGATGGCAGGGTAAAAAGTGAAAAGGGAAGCTGTTTCCTCTCCCCTTTACTCACATTCTGCAGGGGGAAATCATATGTTCATATGGTCCCAAACCAAACCTTGTGAAACCTTGCACAGTAAAAAGACCCCCTTCTATCCACCCCCTTTCTGCTCAGTTCACCCAATTTATTGTTGTTCTATTGCCTTTCAGAAAATTTCTGTAGGTTAAAAAAAAATAGACTCTGGGTTCCCCCCACCCCCTTACACAAAAGTCAATGTAACATACACTGTTTTGCTCCAGGCTCTTCTCACTTAGCATACATCTCCAAGATATTTCCGTGTCAGGACATCAGAATCCTCATTGTTCTTTTTTCTTGCTTTGTAGTATTCTGTCCCATTGACAGACACCTGGCTCAGTTCTTCTTTCTGGCTGTCGTGCCCAGTCAGTGGTGCATAACCTGGTACATTTGTCCACTTGCAGATGTCCAGTTGTCCATAGGATAATTTTCCCAAGGTGGTGTTATTAGTTCAAAGAATACTTGTGTATATAATTGTGTTGAGCATGGCTGAGTTGCTATCTACAGGCTTGTGCCACCTCATCTTCCCCCCAGTATTGTATGAGGCAAGACCTTTACTTGCGTTCTGTTAGTGAACAAGGAGGTGCTTGTGCATATGCACATCTGCTTTTTGTTTGTCCATGATAGTAAGAAACCACACCTCCTCTTCTGTTTCCTTCACTTCACCACATGTCCTGGTGATATTTCTCATCTACAATAATAAATACACCTTCTTTATTTTTTTTAAAATGTATTTATTTATACATACAAGAACTGGGGTACAGGCCAGAGGTGCAGGGGTTAAGAGGATTCACCAGAGACAGTGGGGAACAGAAAAGGTGGATCTACTGAAACACACTGCTGAGGGGACCAGCAGGCAAGACAGGAGAGGTCTGCTGCGCCATGTGGGTCGTCTCGCTGGCTGGGGATCCAACTTGTGCTGCAGTGGCTGCAGATAGCTTCGTAGTGCTGCAGCTTAGCCCCTTGTGCCACCAGGGAGGCCCACCTTATTTCTTTAAAGACTACATTTTCTTCCAGATTCTAAATGTGCCATTATTTAATTAACTAGTTTCCTATTGTCACCATTTAGATTGTTTTTATGTTGTCATTTTAATAAATGGCCCTGCAGGAAACATCCTTGTACACACATTAGACATCCTTGTACAGATACAGCTCTAGACTCTATTACCAGCAGTGGAATTGGTGGTTTAAGATAGGTACATTGAAAATGCTGAGGGCCTGCCAGCCAGATTGCCCTTCTCAAAGACTTCCACCCTGTCGTGTGTGAGGGCATATTTCCCCAGGAGTAGAAGCTGTCACACACCTGAAGCACCTGGGCCATACCTGATAGCCTCACCCCACTCCCACCCCCACCAAGCTGTATCCAGAGAGCAGGACTCTGGGTGTGGGGCCTGGGCTTGTTTCTCAAGGTCTCCTCAGCCTGGGCCTGGGAAGGCCCTGAGATCTGCAGTGCCCCTGGACTGGGCCCCACTCCTTCCAGCCATGCCCTAGCTGTTTTCTTGCTTCTACCCCTGTCCAGTCCTGGGACAGCTTCTTCCGGAAAGCCAGTGAGGCTCAGCCACGCCCCATCTCTGTGGTATCTGAGAGCAGGCCGGCGGTCTCCAGCCGGACCAAGACCAGCAAGCTGGTGGAGGACCACCTGGCTGTGCAGTCCCTCATCCGGGCCTACCAGGTGAGTGCTGGGACTCCCTCATCCGGGCCTACCAGGTGAGTGCTGGGACTGCACAGGCTGCAAGGGAAGGGGGCTCTCTTGGCTCCTATGTTACCTCAGAGATCCCTTTTCCCAGATCTGTATGGCAGGGGCGGGGGCTTTGCTCCTCCTGCTACGACCAGGGTATATTTTGTTCTCTGGTTTGTTTGAGGTCTTTCACGTGAAGTGTTATCTGTTTCATATACCACTATGCCCCAGGTACCTAGAAGAGTATTTAGTAATCAATTTCAGTAAATGTTGAATGAAATTAGAGTAGATTAACCTTTGTTAATGTCTGTTTTCTCCTCTTGACTGAACATTTCAAGAGGACAGGAACTGATATACAGCAGGTGCTTAATTTGTGTTTATGGAATGAGCAGTTCAGGAAACAGCTCTCCCCCGACCTGCTGCTCTGCTCTGCAGACTTAGGCCCTCCCCTGCTGGGTCCCCAAGCTGGATTTCTGCTCTGTCGGTGTCCTGATGACGTACCATAGTCTTGGTCTTGACCCAACAAGACTAATTGGAGTGCTGCTCCGGGTGTTCACTCCAGAACAAGTATTATCAGTTGGGATCTCTCTGGGAATCAGTGTCAGAAAGTGTTTCACGGGCAAAACTTGTCAGACAGACATGCAGAAGGGAGGCCAAGGGCACCCAGGGCCTTTGGCAGAGAACCCATAGAAGGGAGCAGCAAGCCACAGCAGGAACTGGAGTGGGGGGGACCATAGGAAATGGTGACTGGCCTCTGTCTGAGGTACCTGCGTGGGGTGGCAGCTGCTCACAGTTGTACTGGGATGGAAGAGAGGTGAGCAGGGCTGGCCTTCCTTCATGGCCCAAGGACCCACGGATTGGGGGCCACTGGCAAGCAAACAGTACTAGTTGTAATTATGTTTTTCTTGACTGGGTGAAAGAAGCAGAAAGTGCTTTCATCACTGACTTTGGAAACAGAACAAGGAATATAAAACTCTGTATTAAATACCAGGTAACATATAGAGCTGAGTGAGGGCTTTAGCTTTTAAGCAGTGTTCCTGGCTCTTCAGCTGCTCTTTGGTATATATGTATGTATGTATATATGTATGTATGTATGTATGTATTTATTTTGCATGCATACAAGAACTGGGGTGTAGACCAGAGTTGGGTGGGGTGAGAGGATTCACCAGAGAGAGTAGGGAGCAGAACAGGCAGATCCACTGAAATGTACTGCTGAGGGGAGCAGTGGGCAAAGACAGGAGAGGTCTGCTATGCTATGTGGGTTGCTCCCTGGCCGGCTGGGGATCAAACTCATTCTTCAGTGGCTGGTGATAGCTTGATAGTGCTGTGTCTTAAACCCCTGAGCCGCCTGGGAGGCCCTCTTTGTTTTTTAACTACAGAGACCAAGCTAGAAAGAGAGTCCTTAAGGGCCTTAGGTCCTTGCAGAGTAAGGGCAGTCTCTGGATTCAGGCATGCTGCTCTGTGCTGCATGTAAAAACCTGACATATCAGCTGCCAGCAGGGGTGCTGAAGCCCCTCTCAGGCCTCACAGTAGGGGGCAGGTCTCTGGTTTGACTCATCTGTACACAATACTGAAAAAAACCAAACTGGGGCCTCCCCAGTGGTGCAGCGGGTTGAGCACAGCGCTATGAAGCTGTCCGCAGCCCCTGCAGCACGAGTTCGATTCCCAGCCGGCCAGGGAAATCCCCACATGGTGCGGCAGACTGCTCCTGTCTCACCTGCTGCTCCCCTCAGCAGCGTTTTCGGTCCGCTTGTTCTGCTCCCCGCTCTGTCTCTGGTGAATTCTCTCATCCTCCCGCGCCTCTGACCTGTACCCCAGTTCTTCTATAGATAAATAAATTTTTTAAAAAAGAGTGAAATACTTGTCTGTTTAAAAAAGAAAACCCAAATCTATTATTATGGATATTTTCAAACATGTAGTAGTGATCCTTCAACCCATCAGTATAGGGTGATTCTGGATTCATCTGTTACCCACCTCATAACCCTTTGGAAGTAAACTCCGAGGCATCTATTTCATTCATTGAACATTTCAGCACATATTTCTAGAGATAAAGGCTCTTTAAAAATGTACCATGATAGCATTATCACCCTAAAAATAATAGTGGTAATCCTTAATGTCAGATAATCCAGTTGGTATCCATGTTTCTCTGTGTTGGGATTTGTTTCTACTGTTTGTTTGAATCAGGATCTAAATAAAGCCCCAGGTTGTGATAAGCCCTAGGATGTGGTTCTTAAGTCTCTTTTCCTCTATAGGTTTCTCTCTCTTTGTTTTTGTGTTTTGTGCCATTTTTGTGTTTGTTTCTTTTTTTGTGGAAGAAACCAAGTTGTTTGTCCTGTGACATTTTCCCTGAGTCTCAATTTGGTGATTACATCCCATGGTGTCACCTTATCCGTTGTCCCACGTAATTTCTGTAAATTGATAATTAGATCTAGAAGGTGAATCCAATATAGATTTGATTTTTTTAATCAGTTAAGTAACTAATTCATCCCAGACACATTAATTCATTGGGGGTGGTAAAAGCAGTGATACTCTAATTCAATTTTATTTAAAGATTTATTTATTTATGCATATAAGAACTGGGGTCCAGGCCAGAGGTGTGGGGGGTGAGAAGATTCACCAGAGACAGAGTGGGGAACAGAACAGGCAGACTGAAGAAATACACTGCTGAGGGGAGCAGCGGGTGAGTCAGGAGAGGCCTAATGCGCCTTGTGGGTTGCTCCCTGGCCAGGGATCGAACTGGTGCTGCAGTGGCTGTGGGTAGCTTCATAGTTTGAGTCTTAACCCCTTGTGCCACCAGGGCGGCACCTTCTTATTCAATTTTTATTTTTTTGTTTATTACCTGAAATATTCTTAGGTTCAGATTGTCTAGGAAAGGCAGGATCAGTGATTGATTTTTCCTTTTATTGACTGATTTTTAAAATTATAGGTTGTTCCCTGGCATCCTCCAAAGATGGCCAATGAAGGCTTTTCTTTTTTCAGTATAATAGGAATGCATGAATTTAAACAAATTTTATGAGTTTCAATCTATCACAGCTATTATCCTCATTATTGTTCAAAACGTGTCCTTATTCCTCAAAATGTATCCTTATTCCTAACCCTAGTAAGGGCTGAGCATGCCTTTGCTGTTGTGTGACAGCATGTTACAAGCTCACTGTGCACATTTCTGCCCAGCCCAGGAACCAGCCACTGCTCTAGCTGTTGGTTTTGGTCATGACTTCTAGGCCCTTTTAGTAGTTAGAGCCAAAAAATACATTTTTTAAAAAAGAAAATAATATACTTTATGGCTTTATACTGATGATTCTACATACTTCAACTGCAGGAATTAGACTTTGTCCTTGACCTTCTCAAACTTATGTTACCTTTAAAGGTGCTGAAAACAGAGGTTTTCAAAATCACCAATATGGGCCTCCCCGGTGGTGCAGCGTTTGAGCGCTGGGTTGCGAAGCTGCGCCGGTTCGATCCCTGGCTGCTCCCCTGCCACTGGAGGAGAGTCCCGCATGGCGCGCAGACCTCCTCTGCCGCCCACTGCTCCCCTCAGCAGTGTACTTCGGCCCTTCTGCCTGCTCTGTTCCCCGCTCTGGCTCTGGTGAATTCTCTCACCCTCCCGTGCTTCTGACTGTACCCAGTGCTTGTATAAATAAATAAATAAATCTTTAAAAAAAAAAACAACAAAATCACCAATACAATGACTTATTTCATCTGCCCCACAGTCCAGATACAACAGTCTTAGAATACTGACACTTAATACAACTGACTAGAAATGGAAATATATTTATGAACTACCTCTGCCCCCCACCTGCTTTCTGTTTGTCTTTAGGGAATGTTCTATTCGTCAGTTGGAATAATTCCTTTCTGTGTAGTTATACCACCAAATGAATGCATTAATTCATTTTGTTTTACTTTTAATTATTAAAGCTTAATTTTCTTTATAGAGGTAAAAATTATAAGATTCCAAAGTCAGATCTTCAAAACAGGATATATTCTTGGGCTTCCCCGATGGCGCAGCGGTTGAGCGCTGGTTGTGAAGCTGCCCACAGCCTCTGCAGTGCCGGTTCGATCCCCGGCTGCTCCCCGGCCACCGGAGGAGGGTCCTGCATGGCGCGCAGACCCCTCCTGCCACCCGCTGCTCCCCTTAGCAGTGTACTTCGGTCCTTCTGCCTGCTCTGCTCCCCACTCTGGCTCTGGTGAATTCTCTCACCCTCCCGCGCTTCTGACTGTACCCAGTGCTTGTATATTTAAATAAATAAATAAATAAATAAATAAATAAATAAATCTTTTAAAAAAAAAACAGGATATATTCTTAAAAGTTTAGCTTTTAGCTCTGCCCTTACCCTATTGTATCCTTTCTCCATATGTAATAATTTTTCTTATTTTAAGTTTTGCTTATTATATAATTCATTTTCATTCATTTATTTGTATGCAAATAAATATATTTACATATACAGTTATAAATGTACGCAAATATATGTAAAAGTATATGCAAATACCTACGTAGGCATACCATACATACATTTAGTAATTTATAATACATACATTTCTATAATTTGCTTTTCTGCTTAACAATATTTTGTGGAGACTATCTCATAATAACAGATAGAGGTTTGCCTTGTTCCTTTTAACAACATACAGTACTTCCCTGCACTGATTTCCATATCCATATGGCAGTCCTTTTGATGGACATTTGGAAAGTTTCTAGAATTTTGTGATTACTGATAGTCCTGGAGTGAATGCCTTTGTGTACATGCCCTTTCCTGCATGTTGTACTTTTAAAAAAGAGCTGTGCTCCTGCCATCGCTGTGACTGTGGTGGAGTTTCATAGGCAACTGCACTGTGACCAAGCATTTGAAACATGTGGAAACTGGAAATTCTGAAGCAGGAAATCAGGAGCCCAGAACCTCACTCTTGGTGAGGGTCTGTCCAGCTTCTTCCTAGTCCATCACTGACCTTTCCCTGTTCTTTCAGATCCGGGGCCACCATGTAGCCCAATTGGATCCCCTGGGCATTCTGGATGCAGACCTGGACTCTTTTGTGCCCTCAGATTTAATCACAACTATCGATAAGTTGGGTAAGAATTGGTACTTTTGCCTGTTGCCTTTGCAATGCTGGAGACAGCTGGTGCCTCTGTGGGTTCTGGGGAGGTTTGCTCCAGGCCTTGCCCATCTACTGCATGGCATCCCTGTGATGGATGGGTCCCATTTTCCCTACCTAGTGCACCATCCCCAGCAAGCTCAAGAGGCTTGTCTAAGCCCAATCTCATGGTGGCAAGTTGAGTTCTGACTCTCATCCCTGTTCCCTGAAGAGAGAAAGTCCTTGAGCTTTAGGTTGGACCTAAAGGGTGCTGGGGTTGGGGGATCGTTGGGAGGTCTGTAGATACTGCTGGGCCTCAGCTAGGCCTGACCCCACTCTCCTCCTCTCTGCTGCCCTGGTTTTGCTATGTGTACCTGCTCAGCCTTCTATGACCTACAGGAGACTGATCTAGATAAGGAATTCCAGCTACCCACAACCACCTTCATTGGGGGCTCTGAAAACACCCTCTCTCTGCGGGAGATCATTCGGCGCCTGGAGGTAAGCATGGGCATGTGTGTCGGACATACCTGATGGAGCTCCGGAGCATGCTAGAAGGAGGCAGGGCACTTCCTGTTCTGCTCCAGATGCCCTGGCAGCCTTCCCTCTTCTGGCTCCTCATGGAGTCCCTGCCTCCACTCCCAGAACACATATTGCCAGCACATCGGCCTGGAGTTCATGTTCATCAATGACGTGGAGCAATGCCAGTGGATCCGGCAGAAGTTTGAGACCCCTGGCGTGATGCAGTTCTCTAGCGAGGAGAAGCGGACCCTGCTGGCCCGGCTGGTGCGCTCCATGAGGTCAGGTGGAGTGGCTGGAGAGGACTGCTCCAGGCTGTGTGAGGTGCCCCAGGTCCTGGCTAAGAAATGGGAGGATGCCTGGCGGGGGAAGACAGGACTGGATGGGCACAGCCCTGGCTCAGGGGAGGGACGGCCATGAGAGGAGCATTGGGTCTAGATGCTCAGGCTGAGCTAGACAGTGGGTGTGAGTGGAACTCCAGGAGGACAAGAGAGGACAGGGCCCAGTGAGCCAGGGCAGAGGGGTAAGTAGTATGTAGCTGTGGGGATATTTGGGTGGAAGGAGATCCCTGTGGAGTGAGTGTAGCATCATTCCTGATGATGGGGCATTCGTGGCTCTCTTATTGACCTCTAAGCTGGGTCCACCCAGCTGGGTCCAAAGTGGGTCCCTGAGCAGTGAGACCTAGACTGGAATTTGGGTTGAACATGAGGTATGGTGGCAGAGCCCTGTGCCATGCACCTGCCTGCAGGAGGGCCGAAACTGGGAACAGGGGAGAGCTCTTTGGAGCATCTGTAAAGGGGTTAGGGGGGTAACTGAGAAAGGGTATCAGGAGGGGTCTCTAGTTAAGTTGGGAGGAGCCCCAACCTCCTCCCTGCCTGTGCTCCTCACTGGTGGAAGCATCATGGTGTCTACAGCAGTTCCTAGACAATGTCGAGGGAGGGGACTGCAGCTTCCCGTGTCCTGGGCAGCCAGCTCTGAGCCCTCATGAACATCCACCTGAGGCCCAGCCTCTCCATCCTTTTGCTTCCCCTCTCCCCAAGCAGGTTTGAAGACTTCCTGGCCCGGAAGTGGTCCTCGGAGAAGCGGTTTGGCCTGGAGGGCTGTGAGGTCATGATTCCTGCCCTCAAGACCATCATTGACAAATCCAGTGAGATGGGGATTGAGAACGTCATTCTGGGGATGCCACACAGGTGGGTCCCTTCCTTCCCCTCCGCGTCTGGTGCTTTCTCCTGCAGGAGCATAGATTGAGGAAAAAAGAAAGGCAAGAAAATCAGAGCAGGGGGTGGGCTTACCTTTTGAAAGGAAGTGAGTAGGTCCCTACCTGAGTTTGGGTGGCTCTCTGCTCTTGAGGGTCTGCCTGGGGGACGCTGGCTGGTCAGGTCCACTCAGTGCTTTGTAGATTGGGACAGTAGGAGAGGGCCAGGCCACCCTTGGGCTCCATCTGGCGGGGAGGGCTCTCAGCCCCCAAGCTGCTCCTGATAGTTTCCAGTAGGCAGGCAGCATGACAGTTGGGGCTTGGTGGGGGAGGTGGCCTCTTTGCCAGATGCGAACCCAGCTCCCTCTGTCCCCTCAGGGGTAGGCTGAATGTGCTGGCCAACGTGATCCGCAAGGACCTGGAGCAGATCTTCTGCCAATTTGACCCCAAATTGGAGGCGGCGGATGAGGTGGGTGCCAACCTAAGTTTCCAGAGCCCCTGGATAGCCAGTCATTTGGGAGGTAGACTGGGACGGGCCTGGGACAGGAAGCTCCAGACACAGATCTTGAGATGGATAGAATAAGGAAGAGCAGGAGAGAGGCTGAGGTTATTTGTGCAAGGACGCCGAAGTATTTTGGGGCAAGTGCCCTGGTAGCTGATAACAGGAAGAGCCCTCGGTTAATCTGGGCCAAAGGCCCTGTTTCCTCTAAGGAGTCTTAAGCTCAGAGGGGTGCACGGAAGCACCTGAAAATCTTCATGTTCGCTCCCAAGGCTGTGGCTCTGCTTACAAAGTCCTGTCCACTTGCCTAGCCTTACCCATATGGGGAGGTCAGGATGGCTTTCTGTGCCCGTGGGTGAAGCTCATTTTTCAGCTCACGCCCACTTTCTGGCCATCTGCATGCCTTACAACCCATGCCTTTGCCTATTCTGAACCCTCAGCCCAGACAGCCTTCCTCTCTCCTCGGAGCTCTGACTCACTCTCACGGCTGTCCATCTCCCCTTTTGGTGGCTTTCCCAGCCCATCAGAAGCAAGCCTGTCACTCCATACTCTCTGCCCCTGTCACCTCAGCACTATCATATTCTGTCCTTCTCCAGCCTGTGCATGTGTGTATGTCTGTGTCTGTGTGTCTGTCTGGTAGCAGGATGAAGTCTCAACACTGGTGTAGATGGTAAAGTGAATCACATTGAATGTCTGCTCTAAGGTCACCCAGCACATCAGACCAGAGCAGGAGTAGAATCCATTCTGCTGACTCCCAGCCCAGAAATGTCCCACCATCTTGTTTACTTTACTCAGACTCCTTAATCTCTCAGAGCCTCAATTTACTTTGCTCTAAAATGGGAAATCAAAGCACCTACCCCCAGGAAGATTTTAAGGAATGAAAGGGATGACATATAAAAATTTTAAGAGCTAGCCAAAGCACACTTAGAAAAATTTTTGTGAGGTTTTTCTCCCCACATTGAAAAAGAGATATGAGGACCTCCCTGGTGGCACAAGGGGTTAAGTCTCAGAACTGTGAAGCCTTTGGCAACCACTGTAGCACGAGTTCAATCCCAGGCCAGGGAGCTACCCACATGGTGCAGCATACCTGTCCTGTCTCTCCCACTGCTCCATCAGCAGTGTATTTCAGTCAATCTGCCTGTTCTGCTCCCCACTCTGTCTCTGGTGAATCCTTTCCCTCCCACCCCCCACACACACACCTCTGGGCTATACCCCAGTTCTTGGATACATAAATAAAATAAATATTAAAGAAAAAAGGAAAAAGAAATATGAGCATTTATTTTTAAAGCTTATGCAATGAGAATGAGTTTCTCTCATGGACCCCTCTTCTGCCCACTGGAGGCCTCATTCTGGCCTAGTTATTTGTGGTTAGGTGTATATTTGCAGAAAGTTCCATGCAGGTACCAACACACATATTTGTCCAGAGAGCCTTATTTGTAGAAGGACCAGGGAGCTGTTGCACCTTCATGTTTTCACTTAATGAGTTGACACACTTGCTGTGGCACACAGGAGACCCCTGATCTTCTCATAGCCATGCGTGAGAAGACCTTTGGGTTTTGCTGGCTGCTAGGGGAGGACACTGGCTTGCTGGCATGAGTGTCTATATTGTGTGTGCCTACATGATCAGGGGTGTGAGCTTTGTAGTGACTATATGTAGGAGGCGCGGACTAAATTACCCTCCAGAGAACTTGCAGACATGTTTGTCCTCTAGGAGGGTGCCAGGTCCCAGGCTTCTCAACCCCATCCTCCTTTATTTATTTATTTTTTAAAGATTTATTTATTTTTATTTTATTTTTTTAAACATTGTTTTAAAGATTTATTTATTTATTTATACAAGCACTGGGTACAGTCAGAAGCACAGGAGGGTGGGAGAATTCACCAGAGCCACAGCAGGGAACAGAACAGGCAGACTGATGAAGTACACTGCTGAGGGGAGCAGCGGGCGGCAGGAGAGGTCTGCGCGCCATGTGGGACCCTCGCCCAGCGGCCGGGGATCGAACCGGTGCTGCAGAGGCTGCGGGCAGCTTCTCAGCCCAGTGCTCAAACACTGTGCCACCAGGGGAGGCCCTAAAGATTTATTTTATTTGGTGAGCAGACCTCTCCTGTCTCGCCTGCTGCTCCCCTCAGCAGTGTATTTCAGTCAGTCTGAATGTTCTCTTCCCTTCTCTGTGTCTGGAGAATCCTCTCACCTTCTCGCGCATCTGGCCTGTACCCCAGTTCTTGTGTAAATGAATAAATAAATCTTTAAAAGATTTATTTTATTTATGCATACAAGAACTGGGGTAGAGGCCAGAGGTGTGTGTGTGATGGGGTGAGAGGATTCACCAGAGACAGGGTGGGGAGCAGAACAGGCAGATTGACTGAAATACACTGCTGAGGGGAGCAGTGTTTCTTCCTGGCCAGCTGGGTATCGAACTCATGCTGCAGTGGCTGCCAATTGCTTGATAGTGCTGTCTTTAACCCCTGCGCCACCAGGGAGGCCCCCCCATCTTCCTTTAATATGTCAAATCTTTCCATCTCTGCCAATATGATGTGTGCAAAAATGAATGCATTGTACCATGTTTCTTTGTTGTGAATTTCAGTGAGTATCTCTTCACATATTTTCAAGCCATGTGCTTCTTTTCTGTAAATTTCTCTTCATGGCTTTTGCTTATTTTTTCATGGGTTGTTTGGGATTTATCTTGCTGATTTGTGAAAGTGCTTTATATATTGCAGGAATTAGTCCTTTGCCGGCAGTCATTGTATTTTTCTCAACTTGAGCTTTTCCTCTGCTAACGCTGTGCATGAGTTTGCTTCCCCCATGACAAATTTATTAAATTTTAGCTGTCTTATCTTTCTTGACTTCTAAGGTCTGCACGTTGCTTAGAAAGGCTTTCCCTATTCCAGGATCATAAATTATGTTTTCCTCTGATACTGGGGCTTCATCTGCTGTGTGCATACTTTTCAGCTACCTTGATGTAAGGAGTTGGGTAGAGGCCCAGCTCCAGTGTTTGCCCGGAGGCCTGGCCGATGGTTTTGACACTACTTTTGAGCCTTCCTTCATTTCTGTGCCTTCACTATTGGTGGCTACCCCCTTCTTATTGCCCCCTCACCCTTCTGCCCCTCAGCGGGCATTAATACCGAGATGGTAGACAATACAGGAGGCTCGGAGGAGGAAGTGCTGGTCTGGCCTATCCTGGAAGGCAAGGTGGGGTGATGTGCTGGGGTGGGGAGGGTGGGAGGAAGTTGTAGTAGGGACAGCACAGGCTTCCCAGGGAGCAGAGCCCAGGGAATGTTTCAGCCCTGCTCTGGGCTTGCGAGTCTGTCTGTCTGTCTGTGTACTCAGTTTGGATGGGAAGGGAGAGGTTCATCACAACCCACCTCAACCTCAACCAGGGCTCTGGAGACGTCAAATATCACCTCGGCATGTACCATGAGAGGATCAACCGAGTCACAAACAGGAACATCACTCTGTCGCTTGTAGCCAACCCCTCCCACCTGGAAGCCGTGGACCCCGTGGTGCAGGGGAAGACAAAGGCAGAGCAGTTCTACCGCGGGGATGCCCAGGGCAAGAAGGTGAGCTTTGCCAGGCTCTGATGGGTTCTGGAGGGTTGGCATGGAGGGCAGGCTCTGAGAACTGGCTCATGAGGGATCACCTCTGAGAAACAGACTGAAGGGTGGACTCTTAAGGATTGCCACTGGGGTGAACTCTGAGGGGTAGATACTGGGAGTTGGGTCCTGAGAGGTAGATTTGAGAGGTAGGATCTGAGACAAGGAGTCTGAGGGGTGGGATTTGAGAGATGGGCTCTGAGGCTAGTCTCAGAGAGCTGGTTCCTGAGAACCTGGGCTCTGGGCAACTGGGCTCTGAGTCTCTGTAGTGCACATCTGGGGTGCACAGGCTGGGGCACAGGGGCTCCTCTTGGCTCACATCCTGCCCTGCAGGTCATGTCCATCCTGGTCCATGGAGATGCTGCCTTTGCTGGCCAGGGTGTGGTCTATGAAACCTTCCACCTGAGCGACCTGCCCTCTTACACCACCAACGGGACTGTGCATGTCGTCGTCAACAACCAGGTGAGGTCAGCCTCGCCAGCCCTGAAATCCAGGCAGCAATTTGGGCGAAGAGAAAGCTGACTCTGGTTCTGATCTCCGCCTTTGCCCTATGTGTGACTTCAGGAAGCATGGCTAGTCTCCCCAACCTTGGCTTCCTGGTCTGAGCTTTTGGAATTTAAGTAATTTTCTCAGGATTGTGCTGTTAATAACTTGCGGGACTGAGATTTAGGCCTATGCTCCTTACTCCCACTGTATTAAAATGATTGCAGAAAAGTAAGAGCATGCTCAATCCTCCTGATGTTACTGCCATCCCTGTGGCAGCTGCCATGTGTCTGATTTGGGGGCCATTCACCATTACCCCTTCATGTTCCCTGGGCACACCTGGAGCATCTTAAGGAAAAGACACTCCCCTATCACCCCAGCTCCTTGATTTGCTGGTCTCCCAGGCAGGCACCCCCTGTTTAGCTCTAAGTAAACAGAGAGGCTGCCAGTTCCTCCTGCTTCTGCAGATTGGCTTCACCACGGACCCCCGAATGGCCCGCTCCTCACCATACCCCACCGACGTGGCCCGTGTGGTCAATGCACCCATCTTCCACGTGAATGCGGATGACCCAGAGGCCGTGATATATGTGTGCAGCGTGGCGGCCGAATGGAGGAACACCTTCAATAAAGATGTTGTGGTGGACCTGGTGGGTCAGGGGATGCCAAGGTCTAGGTGGGATATTGGTGGCCTGTCTCTGCTTTGCAGAACAGGGCCAGATCTGCAGCCCTTTTAGTCAGGGCTGGATTGTCATAGCATTTTAAGATGGAAGATTTAGAGCCACCAAGTACAATCTGTGCAAAAGCAATCTGTGCTTGTGGGTGGGCATTCAGTGATAGGTGGTAGTAGGGGCTTTCAGGGCCTTCAAAGGGTGTGCTTTACTGGGTGTGCCCCAATTGTGCAGTGACTATGCCAAATATCTCTGCCCAGGGGCAGAGACTGAACCTCCTTACCCCTGCTGTCTTTGCAGGTCTGTTACCGCCGGCGGGGCCACAATGAGATGGACGAGCCCATGTTCACACAGCCGCTCATGTACAAGCAGATCCACAGACAGGTGCCTGTGCTGAAAAAGTATGCAGACAAGCTCATCGCCGAGGGCACTGTCACCCTGCAGGAGTTTGAGGTGGGTAGGCAAGCCTTATGCGTTATTGGCTTAATTGTTTGTGGACCCAGGGTTGCTGATGCCACTTTAAAGAAGTAGCCAATATGGTCCTTGTCACAAATAGCCCCCAGTGTTCAAGGGGGAAAGAGAAGCAAGGACACATTTACATGAATGCTGCAATGCAGGGAGAGCCCAGCTTCAAGTAGAAGTCCAGAAAGGCTTCCTGCAGGAGGTAGCCCTGAGCCAATTTTGTCCCCAAAGTTATTTATGAATGTACTGGCCTTCCTGTCAAAGGGACCTCTGAGAGCAAGGATCAAGTGTTTCAAGGGTTTCCCCCAAGTCCCTTGCTGAGCACACAGCAGGTTTATCAGGCTTTGGGGTATGTCCAGGATCCACTTGAAGTTGAACTTTGGCCTCTGGCTATGAGGTCCTTGCAGGCAGTAACAGGGAATTCTAGCACATGGTGAGGGAGCCAGAGGGCCTCTAGCTTCCCCAGGCATCTCTGCCTCAATCTACACCTCATCTGATTTTAGGAAGAAATTGCCAAATATGACCGGATCTGTGAGGAGGCTTACGGCAGGTCAAAGGATAAAAAGATACTGCATATAAAGCACTGGCTGGATTCCCCCTGGCCTGGTGAGCAAGCATCGTGTGGCTAAGGGTAATTCGTCTCGCCTTGGCTCTAGCACTGGGACCAAAACTAGATGGCCCTGCATGAGGGTAGTCACTTCCCAGCCCAGAGGCTGCAAGCTCTGTCCCTGAGACCTGTGAGGCTGTGAGGGCTGATGACTGCAGGTGGGCTGGGCTGGGGTAGAAAGGAGATGGTGTTGCCCTCAACATATGTGACCAGCTGCTCTCTGGAAAGGGAGGGTGATCCAGGGTAGCTTGAAAGCAAAGTGGAGAGACCCCTAAGTGGGTGCTTAGAGGGCCTCCAGGGGGTGGAGTGAGATGGCTGTGGCCCTGGGCCCAGGGAAGGATGTTAGGGAGGTGCAGGGGCTGCAGCAGTGACTGTCAGCTTCCCTGGGTCCCAAGAATGGGTTCAGGGTTTGGATGCTGGGGGAGAGGGAGATGGCCAAAGAAGGGCCAGCTGAATAAGTGTGCTAAGACCCCACCACCATCAAAAAGTGCAGTGACTCTGCCCTCCCAGGTTTCTTCAATGTGGACGGGGAGCCCAAGAGCATGACGTGCCCAGCCACGGGCATTCCTGAGGACATGCTGACGCACATTGGCACTGTGGCCAGCTCTGTGCCTTTGGAGGACTTTAAGATCCACACGGGTGAGGTTGCTGTGCGGGCTGCAGCAGGTGCCATGGTCTCGGGCCCAACACTGTGTCCTGGAGATGGCACTAAGGTCCAGGCCCTGTGTCCCCACCTGGCTGTTGGTGGGTCAACTATCAGTGCTTCATTTGTACCCCGGTGAGGTGCCTGTGATGACAGCTCCTCGCAGGGCAATGGGGTGCCAGTGGCCAGGCTTATGTTGAGCACCTTGAATTTTCCCAGTGTCTTTGCCAGGGCTGTGCCTGGGCCAGGCTGAAGGAGAGTAGGAAAGTAAGGGCTTCCTGTGGAAGGGGTAGTAGTGCTGCCCCAGGGATGGTCGTAGGGTGCCTCTGTACCTTCTGACCAGTTTTTGGGGTTTCAAAGAGTTGTCTCCACGATATGCTCAGACACCCAAGTTCCTGGGGCACCCCTGCTCTGTTCCTGTCACAGGGGATCTGGAGGTGGGGCACCAAAGGGAACCTAGCTAGCATGGGCCTGCTGCCTGGGCCGATCCAAGCACCTTTAGAGTTGTATGATCGTGAGTGAATGGCTTCCCTCTTCAGTGCCTGTCTCCTCACCTGGAGAGCAGGGACAATCAGTGCCTCCCCTGTGGGGTTGTGAGAAATTACCAGATGCTCTCTTTTCCTACTGGAAGGCATGCCGAGGGGATGGTAAGCTCAGGTTGGTCCACTGTCGTGGCTGCAGTGAGGTTGCCAGAGAAGGCTACCCAGTGCTGGGTCTCCTGTGGCCTGCCAGTGTGGCATTCACTGAGTCCATACCTGCATGGGTCAGGGCTCCGGTGCTGCCACTGTCCTGGGCAGGGTGGCCAATCTCTGCATTCCTCAGGCTGCCCCTTCTCTCCTGCAGGCCTCTCTCGCATCCTGCGGGGACGTGCAGACATGACCAAGAATCGGATGGTGGACTGGGCGCTGGCAGAATACATGGCCTTTGGCTCCCTGCTCAAGGAGGGCATCCATGTGCGGCTCAGTGGGCAGGATGTGGAGAGGGGCACGTTCAGGTGAGCTGGGGGGGCTCCAGGCCTCAGGCCTCATTGGCTAATGCCTGTCCCCATGGAACTCACAAGGGAGCAGAGAGCTCAGCTGTGCTTGGGGTTTCCCAGAGTCATCCCAGGAGCACTGGAGTGAAGCTGGCCTTTCTTCCTCTCTAAGACCTTGTCTAGAGAGGCCAGGGAGGGTCTTTGTCTGGCTAAAGTAGTCATAGGCCCAAGGGCAGCATTTCCAGTCCCTGCCCTTCGCCCAAGCCTCTCAGACCCCCATCCAGAAATGACTGCTTGGCCCAAACTGTTGATTGGTATCAAGCCTTGTGGTCATCTATGTCCTCAAGATCATTTTCTTTTCTTTTATAAGCTGCTATCCTACTCGTCCTCCCCATCTAGCATGTTTGCCATTGAGTTTTTGAGGTCACATGGACTTTCCACTTGTTGGTTTGGGGTTCCAGAAATTTTGTAGCCCCAGTTAGTCACTGGGGTCATGTGTGGGTCATGATGGTGTGGCTTCCAGAATTTGACAAATCATCTTTCTCATGCCCCACTCAGTCATCACTGCTGGTCCTATTCCAGCCAGGATCATCGGGGCCACTCCATTGCCCCTTGAGCTGCATGTCTGTCCTTACCAGGCTTGGGGTTCAGCCAATGCCTCCCACTAGTGCACAGTAGTTCCTGCCTTCTGTGTACCTGGAGAGAACAGGTGAGGTGGTATAGGACTACAGGATGGGCAGAGCTGCCTCAAGGGTATGGCCTTTGAGGGTCTCAGGCTCTACCCAGCCCAAGGCGTCTCATTGGATCCCTTCTGTAGGTGAGAGCTGAGACTCTCACGTCTGTGCACTGAGTGTGGGCACCACTGGAAGGGAAGGCTAGGTATCTCTGGGGCCAGGTATCTCTGGCTTTCTGGGGCCTTCTCGGTGTTACCATCCTATAGGACTCTATCAGGTTTCCTGGCACAGTGATGAATTCCTGACTGCCTGTCACTCCCCAGATCACTTGCTGTGGGTGAGCAGATGCCAGTCCGCTTGTCCTCTATCCTTTTCTGGTCTGTCTTTCTCCAGTCACCGGCACCACGTTCTTCATGACCAGGATGTTGACCGTAGGACATGTGTCCCCATGAATCACCTTTGGCCTGACCAGGCCCCCTACACCGTGTGCAACAGCTCCCTCTCGGAGTACGGAGTCCTGGGTGGGTCATAACTCTGCCTTCAGTTCAGGTGGCCCTGGGGTGCCTGGGGCCAGAGAAGAGCTTGCACTCAAGAAGTTCTTTTTGTCTTTTTGGTCATGGTCTGGGCCTGGGGCTAAGGAGGAGCCAGGGGCTCCTGGAGGGGCTGGAGAAGCTCAGAGGCCTTTGAAATTGGACATAGATCCTTTAGTTGCCCTGAGAGACAATGGTCAGGCTGTCCCTGTATATGCAAAGTCCTGTCCCATCTGGCCAGTTGAGGGCCCTGCTTGTCTGGATTGGGGCTCTGTGGATACTAGAATCCCAGTGGGCACCCCGAATGTAGCTGGACCAAGACAGACAATCCCACAGATTCCAGCATGGTATGCTGCCATGACTAACCTTGAATCTGGCTGGCCCCCTCCATATTCCTGACCCCCATCTCGCCTCTGCACTGCTCCCGGCAGGCCTGTCTCCAGGTCTCCTTTCTGGGCTTCCTGGACTGCATCCCCTATACTCTTTCTTCCTTGGTTCCACCTTTAGCTGACCCTCTTCCCCTGTCACTACTTCCTGACCCCAGAAGAAGAACCCCCCAGAGACTAGCCACCTGCCCCTTCCCTGCAGCAACCTTGCATGGTTTTGGTGGCTTTTCTTGGCAGAAAACCCCTGCTCCTCCTAGGGCAGCTTAGGACTTGGCTGAGGCTGCCGTACTCCATCCAGGTCAGGACGGCGGTGGCATCTCAGGGCATATTGTCGGGTCCCAGGAAGGGAGATCCTGGCCTTTGGGCCCCAAAGGGCCCCTGGGCTCTCCTGGCCTTCTGGGAAGGATGGTGGGAGCGGGGAGCTTGTATGAGGAAGGGCTGGGTGTGACTTGCTGTGGCAGGTTCGATCTCAGTGTCTTTTGTTTAGGCTTTGAGCTGGGCTACGCCATGGCCAGCCCCAATGCCCTGGTCCTCTGGGAGGCTCAGTTTGGCGACTTCCACAACACAGCCCAGTGCATCATCGACCAGTTCATCAGCACCGGCCAGGCCAAGTGGGTGCGGCACAATGGCATCGTGCTGCTGCTGCCGCATGGCATGGAGGGCATGGTGAGGGCTGGGATGGGGCCTGGGGGCCGGGTGGCCTATGGCAGACTGGGATCGGGTGGGCAGATCCTTTACTGCTTGCCAGCCCCTGGAGCCCCTGAGTATACTCAGGGCAGGGCCTTCGTAGGTCTGCGCACAGGCTACTGAAGATGATGATCCTGCTCTTACCAGCGTAGATGTAGCCGGCCTGCCTGAGAGCTTACTGTGTGCTGTTTAAAAACACTTCCCTCCTTAAAACAACTTAATGACGTAGATTCTCCTCACTTTCTAGAAGAGGAAACTAGTGCTGAGCAAGGTGGGTGGCTTGCCCAAAGTCACACAACCAATAGCTGGATTTGAACCTGTGCTGTGCAGCACTCCTTGTCCTCTGTCCCCTCCTGTTGACCAGCTTGTTCTGCCACCCATGGGGAGAGGAACAAGGAGGAGCAGAGCATCATGGGTTGCCAGCTGAGGAATGCGCGGCCTGAGCAGGTGGGGGATGGGTGAGGCTATGTGAACTGCAGGGGCCCAGGGCAGGCTTGACTACCAGCTGGCTCTGTGACCTGGGGAGAGGCCTCCTATACTCTGGAGATTCAGGCTGCAGCAGAGATCCCTGTGGGCCCGCTTAGCTTGGACCAGCCCCTGTGTAGGGACCGAGCATTCTTGTTACCACTGCAAGGCTTTTGCAGCTGGAACTTGCTATGCAGCTGGGACGACATTGTTGTCATGTCTGATGCTGTGGCATCCCCACAGCTGGGCTGAGCTGTCAGTCTTGTCCAAGTTTCCCATGTGAGGAGGGATGTGGTATGCCTGCCCAAGGTCGCCAGCTAAACAGGTGGTTGTAGAAGTTGAGCCAGGCTGGATAAGGAGGGCTGGACTCACCCGGATCGTGCCTGTGGCACTGGCTCCTTGGGGTGTTCTTGTTAATGAAGGGGCAGGTGGTGACTGTAGAGCAGGTCACCCCTGCCCACCAGGAGCCATTGGAGGCCAGTGTGGGGTGTCGTGCTGCCCTCATGGAGTGGGGCGGTCATGCCTGTGAGGGCAGGAGCAGGAATCAGCTCTGCCTACTGGGGTTCAGAGCCGCCCACTTCTGGCTGAGTCATCTTGGGGTTGCTTTTTAATCTCTGCCTTTCACCTTCTTTTGTACAGTGTCTCTATCATGGGACTGCTTTTAAGATTAGTAAATTATACGTATGGAGTCTGTAGAACTGTCTGGTACTCAGTAACAGTCATGGCTGTCGGTCAGAACATTCTGGAGAAGAAACACCTCAGCCTGGCCTTATTGCTTTTCCTCCTGCCCCACAGTTCATAGTTCATGCCCCTGGTTCTGGCCAAACCCTTCTCTGAGGGTCTCCTCCCTGCTGTCGTCCCACATTCCTGATCCTATGGTGGTTCAGGCACCATAGTGAGGGCACCTCTTCTGAGAAGGCATCCGCACTCTCCTGATCTCAGGTCCTTGAAAGGCCAGTGTCCATCCCTTGTGACAGGACCCCCTTTAGCCCTCCTTGGGCCAGCATGACTGTCTGGCATTTGCTTTCAGGGCCCGGAGCACTCCTCAGCCCGGCCAGAGAGGTTCCTGCAGATGAGCAATGATGACTCAGACGCCTACCCTGTGAGTGCTGTCCACTGCCCCCCCGGGACAGGGAAGCACCCCACCAGGGTGTGGATATCACAGGCGGGCCACCTCCCAGCCACACGCTGTCCCCCAGGCATTCACGCAGGACTTCGAGGTGAGCCAGCTTTACGATTGTAACTGGATCGTGGTCAACTGCTCCACACCGGCCAGCTACTTCCACGTGCTGCGCCGGCAGATCCTGCTGCCCTTCCGCAAGCCGGTAAGCGCCCGCCCTGGTTGTCACCCGAACAGTGACAAATGTGGGGAGCCTGACCAGCTGGGGACAGCTGGAAGCTGGACATGTGTTTCCCTTCCAGCTAATTGTCTTCACACCCAAATCTCTGCTGAGGCACCCAGAGGCCAAGTCCAGCTTTGACCAAATGGTATCCGGTATGTGCCCCTGGGCATGTCAAGAGCGGCCCACTTGTGGTGGTGGCCAGTGTGGGGCCTGGTGGCCCACATGTCACCTCTGTTCCTGTGGCTCTTCCATCCTCGCCTCTGCACTCCATCGACCCCATGCGGCCCTCCCAGCACGGCCCTCCCAGTGGCCGGATTAGGAGGTTGGAGCGATGACCAGCTGCTGGTCACTCAGCTGAGCACCAGCCCAGGGACATGCACTAGTGTCCCCAGCCTCCAGCAGAGAGCTGGCTGTGCCAGGGGAACTTAGCAGCGGTAGGGTGGGTGCAGGTCTGCTGCGTTTGCAGGGCACTGAGTAGCAGTCACTTTTTTTTATTTATGACCAAACAAAAATATTATTGGCCCTGGGAACCTGATCCCTGCTCCAGGAGCTCTAAGCCTCATTTCCCTGGGAATTAGGGGTGAGAGAAAGCACTAGGACAAGGACTAGGTATTGGAATTGAGATGGGACCCAGTTTGGTGGCTGGATGGCTGGAGTGTGCCAAGAGGAGGTGCGGGGAAGGCCGACATGGAGCCCTGAGCTTGGCAGAGCAGCACTGTCTTGGAAACAGACCTGAAGGAGGGCGGGCAGCAGCAGCATGGACAGGTGTTAGTTTTTCACCTGTGTGTCCTGGGCATCCCTTCAGGTGTGGGAGTGACTGAGCCTGCTGCTCAGAGCTCTGCCATTGGGACTCGACCCACTGGTCTGAAAGTCCAGGCTGACTTCTCCCTCTGGGCCCTGGCAGCCTCTACTTTCTGCCAGTGTCCTCACATGGGACTTTCTTGGAGGTTTTTACAGCGTGTTGGTCTGGTGCTTGGCATGTGGCACGAGCTCAGGGAGGCAAAATGGACAGAACTTGGAGATGGGGATTCTGCTGTGGGCCGAGGGAGGGACAGATGTGCAGTGGCCTCCCAAAATAGCTGCTCACCTTCCAGTTTGGTGCTTGGGTGGCTGGAGTGTGTGCAGGAGGTGGGCACAACTAGATGAGGAACAGGGTTGGGACAGACAGTGATGCTTTTGATGGGGGGGGGGGTAGCAACACCTCTGTCCCCTGCAGGGGCTCTCCCCATCATATATCCATCACCTTGCAGGTTGATGCACTCAGGACTCTGCCCTTGATTCCGGCCCTCTCCCAGGGACACCTCAGGGTGTTATCTGTTCCCTGCTCCATTGCTCTGCAGTCAGAGATCTAAGCCTGAGGCTAGTCTCAGTGATCAGGGAGAGCTGGGGATGTGGGCCTGGCTCCCAGGTTACTCTGGTCTCTTGAGGAGCTGATGCCCCTGCCATGCCCTGTTGATCCCCAGGGACCAGCTTCCAGCGAGTGATTCCTGAGGATGGGGCTGCAGCACAGTCACCTAAACAGGTGCGGCGGCTCATCTTTTGCACGGGAAAGGTGTATTATGACCTGGTGAAGGAGCGGAGCAGTCAGGGCCTGGAGGACCAAGTGGCCATCACACGTCTGGAGCAGGTATGCCTGAGCACCAAGCCTGACCAAGCCAAATTGCCAGCCTCCTGGCTCTAGGCAGAGTGCCAGGCAGGGTCAGGGCCTGGACTGGGCCTAAGAGGGACACGGGCTGCTCTCTTGGGGCCAGGCTATGAGTATGCCCCTTATAGGTTCCCCTTTCTCTCTGCCTACTCCAGATCTCTCCATTCCCCTTCGATCTGATCAAGCAAGAGGCAGAGAAGTACCCAGATGCAGAGCTGGTGTGGTGTCAGGAGGAGCATAAGAACATGGGTTACTATGACTACATCAGCCCACGCTTCATGACCATCCTGAGCCGGGTGCGGCCCATATGGTATGAGACTGGGGGAAGCCTGCCACCGGTTACCCCTCACCTCTGGCAGGTGGTAGAGTCCAGAGGACTCTAGGGACCTGAGACCCAGCTTGACTCTGCCCACTCCCTTTGCCATGTAACCCAGAGCTGGCCTCTGCCCTTCTCTGAAAACCAACAGCTTGGACCCTGCTGGTTCTGTGGCCATTGGTGAGAGGTCAGTTGCCCCAGCAGAGACCCTAGTTGGTACTTATAGAGAGTAAACCTTTGTTTCTGTTCTGCAACTAGAACTGTACTGGATACCCTCCTGCATGTCTCAGATCTTCCTCTGATCTTAGGTCAGTCTTTTAGCTGTTGGAACCTCAGCCTCCTCATCTCTGTAACAGGATGATGACAAAGTTTAGATCCGATACAGTCCTGGGGTGGGGTTAGGCGAGGCCCAATCCTCCCCTTCACTTGTCTTTCCTCTCCCAGGTATGTTGGCCGTGACCCAGCAGCTGCACCAGCCACAGGAAATAGGAACACTCACCTGGTGTCTCTGAAGAAGTTTCTGGATACTGCTTTCAACCTTCAGGCCTTTGAGGGCAAGACATTTTAGAGCTGAGCAAGGCCTGCCAAGCTACCTGTGTCTTGCCAGGGAGATTCTGGAGGACATAGCAAACTCACTAGGGGAGGGACAGTTATCCTGTCTAGGATAGGGGTTGTGGGGCCTCAGGATAAAACATGCTAATGTAGTGATTGAGACCAAAGGGTAGGTACTGCAGGTTTGTGTAGATTGTCACTTTGGGACTTCACGTTTTTTCAGAATCTGTTAGGACTGAGCAAGCCAGACGGGTCTGATAGATGGGCTGTGATTCTGGAGTGTTTCCCTAGCTGGCTTGGTCTTTCTGGAATTGTGTGGCTTCTCCATGTGTGTCATTCATGTCTGTGAGACAGCGATCCGGGAGCAGATCTCTCCCCTGCCAGGAGATCTGGCTGCCACTCACCCTATCCTTGTTCATCTGTAGATTCAAAGAATATTCTCTTGTGTGCTTTTAGAAATAGAGATTTCAGCAATAACAACCAGGCGGAGCAGAGCCATGCCAGGTGATTTATACGTGCTCTGTTTTATGGGGCGTGTCATGATGAGATATGTCAGCTCTGCGTGAAATACAGCCACAGCTCATGTGTACCAAAGTAGAAAACCAAATAACAAATAAAAATGCTTATGAGAGATTTTCTGCCTTCATTCAGTGTTGTCAAACTGGGGGAAGAATGGTTTAGAGAGGGTAGAGAATGGGGAGAAATTAAAAAATGAAACACCTAAGGATGAACTATCTGCTCCACTGGACAGGTTTTCCTTTGTGTACCCTGCGGCCTTTGCAGATCTGTTAGCAGCCCCATCTTTAGCCTTTTTTTGTTTGGCTTCCCTGCAAAGATGCTGGGAAACTGCAGTAGAGGAAGGATGTTTTGCGCTGCACAAGTCATTGATTCATTTACCCCCTCCTCAGAGCACTTCCTCTGTGCAAGACCCTGAGGCCTGGGGTGCAACTGTGTGCTGGCTTTGCTCACTCAGGGGTTTTGTTCACTTGCGGTGTGAGTTACCTTCAAGGTAAGTACAGAGGGCTGTGGGAGGCCAGAATCCATGGAGGAGGTGGTGCTTGAAGGAAGAATAGTCCCTACGGGAGAACTGGGAAGAATGAGCCTCTCTTGGAGCAGACCACAGAATCGGGAGGGAAAATTTAAAGAAAAATCAACCTGAAACTGGAGAATGGAGTGTTAAGTTCCATCAACCTCAGAAACAGCTTTTCGGGGGTACACTGAATTGCACCGCAATAGCATTCCAAGTGACATAAATGAAAATAATTGCGACTGCCTTTACAGTGTGTCTGTTGTGTCCTGGGCCCTCTGCTGGGCATTTTACATGTATTACTAAATACTATTTAACCTTCACTATGGCTTTGCATGTTAGGACGATGCTGATTTTACAGATGAGGAAATTGAGGTTCTTTGCCCAGGGTCATTCTCTAGATGGACTTGACTGCTGTTCACAAGACCAAAATCTTTCCCTTGGGAAATAAGTTCTTCCCTTATCATTCACCTCTGGTCCCATGGGCATCGATCCACTGTTTGGGCTCTCCCTGTAGTTGGTCTGTGGCAGTGGTCAGAGATATAGCCAGTGGGGCACCTGGCCTGGATGGTGCCCTCATGCTCTGGAGTTGGAAGGTTGGCACATCCTGCCCGTAGCCCACACTCACTCCTTCCTCACTTTGTGTTGGAAGCTACAGACCTGCTCGTGGGGTCAAATAGAAAGAGTGCATGGAAAACCGACTGCATGCACAGGCCTATAAGCATGACAACGCTGGGAAGGAAAAGAGCTCATGGCTTTCAATGAGCAGCACTAACTTCAGAGGGCAAGGACCATTATTGCTCCTATGAAACAAAAACTTAAAAAAAAATCAGAGATCTAGAGAAGGCCAGATACTGCCAAAATCAAAGCCTCGATGGATGGTTGAATAACAGAAGAAGGACAGCTGAAGTGGAAAATAATAAAATAGGCAGAAAGGCCAAGGAATTCTCCCAAGAGAACAAAAGTTTTCAAATCATTTCTTAAAGACACCTAGAGTACATATAGATCCACAGTTCTGACGGTGCCTCAAACAGGAGTCCCAGGAGGAGAAAATGTAGGGAACGTTTGGTTATGGGAATGTTGTTTTTTGACTGGGTCAATGTCAATGTCCTGGTTGTAGTATAGTTCTGCAAGATCTTATCATTGGGGAAACTGAGTAAAGGCTGCTTGGGATATATTTCTTACAGCTGCGTATAAATTTACATCAACTAAAAGTTTAATTAAATTTGAATTGTTTAAAATATTGAATTGAATTGTTTGTTCCCTTTTATTAAATTGTGAGAGCTCCTTACATAGTCTGAACACAAATCCTTTATCAGATACATGTTTTGCAAATCTTGTCAATCTATGGCTTACATTTTAATTACATCAGCCATTAATGGTCTCAGAAATTTTTTAATTTCCTATTTTTCGTTTTTGCTATGTTGGAATGCAATTTATTTTTAGATAATGTGACTATTTACTAGTTCTAGTGTCTTTAAAAAACAGAAGATCCTCTTGAATCTTCTGCAAATATAACTAAATCAACTGCAAATAGTTCATATCTTCCTTTACAATCTTTATGCTTTCATTTACTTTTCATGCCTTATTGCACTTACTTTACTTGTCTTTTTCTGAGTCACATCTCATCAATTTCTGCCTGCTTTCAGTTGATCTCCAGTGTCTCAAACAGTTGCTCTTTTCATCCAGCATTTGTAAATGTTATGAGCAGGAAGGTTAATCTGCTAAAAGCTCTCTTCATGTTATCAGAAGCTGTTCCCTAAAGCACCATTATTGAAGGACTGTTTGGCAATATCTATTATAAATTTAAATGCCTCTATTTCATGATTTCTAGTCTAGGGCTATTTCTACTCATGGAATAGCAGTGAGTAAAAGATTTTCTCACTTTAGCATAGCTCATAATAGTGCAATAATAGAACTCCTAAATGTTCTATAGCAAGAGTTGGCAAACTTTTTCTGTAAGTAGCCAGATAGTAAGTAATTTAGGTTTTGCAATCCATATGCTCTCTGTAGCAACAACTACAGTGTGCATGGGTGCATTCCAGTAAAACTTTATTTGTGGACTCTGGGATTTGAATTTCACATAATTTTCATCTATCACAAAACATTATTTTAAAAAATAAGTTTTTCCAGCCACTTAAAAATATAAAAATTGGGGGCCTCCCTGGTGGTGCAAGGGGTTAAGTCTCAGCATTATGAAGATATTGACAGCCATTTTAGCATGAGTTTGATCCCTGGCCAGGGAGCTGATCCACGTGGTACAGCAGACCTCTCCTGTCTTTCCTGCTGCTCCCCTGAGAAGTGTATTTCTGTCAGTCCACCTGTTCTGCTCACCACTCTGTCTCTGGTGAATCCTCTCACTCCCCCCACCCTCACACCTCTGGCCTACACCCCAGCTCTTGTATGCAAAAATAAATAAATCTTTAAAATATATATATTTTATATATATATATATAAATTATTCTTAGATTGCATGCCATGTGAAAATAGGTGGTGGATCAGAGTTGGCCTGTGGTTCATGGTTTTCCAACCTCTAGTCTATAGGTTTAACTAGTGATGCACAAGTATGGTATCTAGTTTGCTAAATTTTCATTGTAAAATAATTGCATATTGGTGAGAAGTTGCAAAGATAAGAGAGCCTGTGTAGCCTTCACCCAGTCTTCCCAGTGGTTACATTTTTACATCACCATAATTTAGTATAGAAAACAGGGAACTGGAGTTAGAACAATGTATGCTTTCAATGCTATCTCATCACAGGTGTAAACTTGTGTAACTACCACCACATTCAAGATGCAGAGTTATCCCACCACCGCGATGAACTGCTCTGTGACACCCATTTATAGCCGTGTCCCCCTTCTCCATTAATTTCCTGGCCACCCTGGCAACTATTCATTTCTTTTCCATCCCTATAATTTGTCGTTTTGAGAATGTTATATAAATGGAATCATACAGTTTGGTAGCTTTTGAGTTGGCTTTTTTTCCTTTCAGCAGCATTATGCTCTTGAGATCGCTCCAAGAGGTAAATTCTTTGTAATCAGTGAAAGCTCAGCAACTATGGGCTGAATACTGATTATTGACATGCTTTTTGGCTTTAATTGGAGATGCTGGCTTACCTTGGACTCTCAAGTTGTCTCTTTGGGAGCAACTTCTATAAAATTATATATTTGAAGCTTAAATTCCCTGCAAGTGTAGAATGTGGCCTCTGAAACACCCCATGGCTTGAATGCTACTCCACTTTACTTAGCTTCCTCCAGCCGCCTGCTGAACTGGATTTTTTGTTTTGAAATTCCTAGCCCAAAGGTCCTGAAATGTTGGGGAGTCCTGTGGGGTCAGTGGAAATGGGGCTCAATGGGCAGAAATGACAGCAGTGTCCTTCTGCCCCTGAAGCCCCATGTTGCCGCCAGGGTCCCCTGTTGTTAGACGCCATGTGGACGGCTCAGTGGGAAAGCCACACTAAAGGGGACCGGATTCCCCAGAGCAAAGCCAGCTGGAGGCCCACATCTGCCACCCTTGAGGAATCTTCAGTTCCTTTGGAACAGCGGAAAGAAAGGGAGTTCCTCCAGCAGGGAGGCAAAGATCTCCGCTTTCAGAGCATGTTCTCGAAGCTCCCTTCTTCCACGGAGCTGTCTCCAGGCTCAGGTGAGACCACTTCGGCCATGTCACAGTGAGCCTTGCTCTCTAGGGTGGTGGTTAAGCAAAGATTCGGGAATCAAATGGGCATGTGTTTGATCCTGCAGTTATGGCTCTTTCTAATTCTTAATAAAGGGACTATGAATATTTAAAATACACATGACATTAGAAAGACCGAAAATAGACCTCTTGATCAAATCTTAATGTCGTATGTTCTTTGTGTATTTATAAAACAATAAAACCTAACAAGTACAGTCAAAATTATTTTTTTTCCTAGGAGTTGTTTATAAATTTTGGACTCTAATCTTGCCAGTTATATGTATAACAAAAATCCTTTTCCATCCTGTAGCTTATCTTTCCATTTTACTTATCCCATCTTATGTTGAATAAACATTCAAAATTTTTTTGTAATCCAGTTTAACTTCTGCTGGTTTTTCATAGTATATGTATTCTTTTTTTTTTTAAAGATGTATTTATTTATGCATACAAGGCCTGGGGTACAAGCCAGAAGTTTGGGGGGTATGAGAGGATTCACCAGAGAAAATGGGGGGCAGAACAGGCAGATCTACTGAAATACACTGCCTAGGGGAGCAGTGGGTGAGACAGGAGAGGTCTGCTGCAACATGTGGAATGTTCCCTGGCCAGCCGGGTATCGAACTCCGATCTATCTCATGCTGCGGTGGCTGCTGATAGCTTGATAGTGCTGTCTTTAACCCCTGTGCCACCAGGGAGACCCAGTATATGTATTCTTAAGGGCATACTTTTATTTCAAATACTTGAGTTATTTAGTATTCGTAACCTCTTTCTGCATAAAGGAACTTCGTACAAATTACCCACTGAGTAACTCCCATTTTGGTCTTATCTAAAAAAAATATTGTTAAACACAGAAAGTAGATTGTTTTAATATAACTATAGTAGCATTTTTACTGTTAATTAAATCTAATGACATGTTTTATTTGGCCATGAGCTC